TTGAAAAAAAAACCTAACTTCTAGTGCCACTAGAGAGCAGGGCATCGGAGTTTTGGTTAGGCAGGCTGGCAGTGCACGATCGCGTGTGGGAAGTTTGAAAAGGGGCATAGGAGCCCTCCAATAGTGTCACTAGAGTTTAGTTACAAATAGCTATGTTTTCGCATGTGGCGGCATTAGATCTCACAAGAAATATCAAGTGATCACCAGAAACATAGCAACAGAGCTTAGAGCATGGCAACAACTAGTTCTGGTAGTGTGTCCATGACCATTAGGGAAACTCATGTGGTAGTCTCCGATGACCCACCAGAGCTCTCCGATGGTGTCATTTTTAGCCCACCAAGTTGGTAACGACTAGTTTCTTGAGAGGGATTATGAATTGAGTGTGGCCAAGCAAGTTAGAACCCTTGGGCTTCCATATTAGAGCTCAAGAAACATCCCTGCTCTCCATTCCTTGCTAGAGATTGCATTCTCAGTGAGATTGGAGCGATTCTAGTGAATTTGCTTTACGAGGTTGCATCTTGTGGCAGATCATTATGGCTGTGGGTTGTCTTGTCACTCTTGGTGGATTCCACCACCTAGACGGCTTGGTGTAGCGAGTCTCCGTTGAAGCACTCCATTGAAGATTGTAAGGTGCACCAAAGTTGAGTGTGGTGGGCTATTGGGTTCATCGCTGCTGGAGAGGCAAAGAACAACTCTAGTGGAATCGAGGCTAGGATAAGCACCTCATGATTGAGCCAGCTCAAGATCAAGCGCTCACATCTAAACCAACCTCCCGGGGTTGTTGATCTTGATAGAGGAGTGGTGATCTTTGGGCTTACCTCAACATGGACGTAGGTAACCAGCAAGTCACTAAACTACAGGGGGTATATCTTGTGTCTTCCTCTTGTGCTATTCATTTGATCACTATCTCTTGCATTACTTGTGTTGCTCAATTCCTAGTGTAGAGATAATAGGACTTATCATCCTAGGGTGCAAACCGAGTTAGCTCCTTCAATTCTAGTTAACTTAGCTTAGTGTTTATCTTTTTACTAGAATTGTGTGGGAGTTGATCACCCTAGGCTTGCAATACATATATAGTAGTACTGGTTATTAGGGCCTCCTTTGTGTCTAACAAGTTTGCCTCGTGTTGTGCCTTACTAATTTTTTAATTGGGCTATTCAACCCCCAAATCTAGCAAAGTGCTACTGCCCCTATGCTATAGAGTCCCACATGGCAAGCCGAATGGGCACGATCCAACCACAAGAAAGGGAAGTAGGCTATAGATTGGCCATTAGGCTAGCCCACTTAAGGAGCGCGCCGATGGCAAAAGGTGAAAAATTAACACTAAAACTTAAAATGTTCTCTTTCTGTCACCTATTTCATCTTTTGTTCCCTATTTGACACTTTCATCACTTTTTGGATGTAACGACGTTAAGACTAATGAAGCATGCATAACAAGGATTGTAGCAAACTTCTGGCATTTCATCATGCACAAGGTTCATAAAAAATGGTAGGTACTTCTGTGACATTAGCGAGCTAGTGACAGAGGACAAGTTCAGAAACCTTAGAGTGTGGGAGAACCTAAGGATCATAGATTACAAGATGCCAGATATGGTTTAGAGCTAGCTCTAGCTTAATCATGTTAGGATTGTACAAAGACAGATGAAATATAGGCTCTTCCAACCCAATATATGGTTTAGTTTAGTTTAGTTTGTAATGTCCTTATTACTCCGATGACGAGACACATAATCTATATATTGCATGCATATCATTTGGGTCAGTATTGGTTGTTCTAAGTATCTCGTATCTAGAGAAAGAAGTTTTTTTCACGTACATGCGCCGGAGTGCAAGTATTTCATTATCCGGAGAAAGAAGTTGATCAACCTAGTTTACAATCGTGAAAGCAAAATCCAAACAAAACATTGAGAAAGTTTTTAAATATTTGGAAACCATTAACACTACCCCAGATCTTGACATCACTATCGGTTCAAAAACCCCCTTCACTGCCAGATTTTGAACCGACAGTGGCATACCGGCAGTAATAGAGGGTCGACATCACTGCCGGTTCTTATAAACCGACATTGGTGTGACGCTGGTAGTGATGTGGAAAGCCAAAAAATACACTGAAAAAATAGAAAAAAAAGTCACAACTCACGTGATTTTTCACGCAAAAAACACATTTCGCGGCCACCGGCGCTCGAACCCCTGACCTATTGCTTCGCGTCTTTGGCCTCTAACCACTCCACCTGCAAGCTATTTGTATCAAATGAGATTTTCGTCCCAGCCATTTTATGTTTATCTGATTTTGAAATAAATATTTGGGACCCTAAACGAATTCAAATGAAAAAGTTATCAACTACAAAGTTTTATAACTTTTCGAGATCTACAACTTTTATTTTGATAGTTTCTTCATCCGAGAACGTTTACAAAATTTGAATTTCAAATTTTAGAAATTCAAATGTAGTTTTCCATGACAAGATGATTTCAAATGAAAAAGTTGTCAACTACAAAATTTCATAACTTTTCGAGATCTACAACTTTTATTTTTACTGTTTATCCTTTCGAGATAGTTTAAAAATTCAAATTTCAATTTTTTGAAAATTCAAACATAGTTTTTCTTGACAAGATGATTTGAAATTAAAAAGTTGTTAACTACAATGTTTCATAACTTTTTGGGATATACAACTTTTATTTTGGTAGTTTCTCCATCCAAGACCATTTACAAAATTTGAATTTTAAATTTTAAAAATTCAAACGTAGTTTTTCTTGATTATTTCAAATCAAAAAGTTGTCAACTACAAAGTTTCATAACTTTCGAGATCTACAACTTCTATTTTGGTCATTTGATTATTTACTCATCCGACATAATGGTTGTAACATTGTTCACAAATGTTACATATCCCTATTATAGTTTATGAAACTATAAGAGAGATATGTAAATTTTGTGACAATGTTAGTACCATTTTATCGGATGAAGAAATGACCAAAATAAAAGTTATAAATCTTGATAAGTTCTATAACTTCTATGTTCATGACTTTTTTAGTTAAAATCATTTAGTGTTCCAATGACGTTTGAAGTTGCCATTTTTTGAAATTCAAAATTCAAATATATAAAACATAGTCACATAAAAAGATGGATAAAATAATAGCTATAACAAAATAATAAATTGATAGAGCATGATTTTAGAAAATTTTAGAAAAAAAAATCATCAAATTTAAAGTTAGTATGAGGGAGAAAGACTAGTTACAAATTTTAGTTAGAGATTAAAAAGAGAAATTAGAGTTCTTCAATAATTTCAAAATTTAATTTCAATCAACATTTTGAAGTAGTAAATGATTTCAAATAAAAAAGTTGTCAACTATAAAGTTGCATAACTTTTCGAGATCTACAACTTTTGTTTTGGACGTTTCTCCATCCGAGGTTGTTTGAAAAATTCAAATTTTAAATTTTAGAAATCAAACGTAATTTTCGTTAGATAGATGATTTTAAATGAAAATATTTGGATATTCAAACGATCTCAAATTAAAAAAGTTTGAACTACAAAGTTGTAGATCTTGTCGAGTATTACAACTTTGATATAAAATTCGTCTTCATCAAACATCATATGAGAAACTTATGAAGTTTCCTTGCAGCATATCGCTGTGGGTTCAAGCCACGAACCGACAGTGATAGTATCATTGTCGGTTTTTGGCTAAAACCGGCAGTGATGACCCAATATCACTGTCGGTTCTTAGTTAAAACCGACAGTGATATGAATCGATAATGAATACCCGATTATCAGTGTCGATTGGGCTATCAGTGTCCTGTCACTGTCAATTTTAGCCAAAAATCGACAATGATGGGCTATCACTGTCGATTTCTCAAAATCCAACGGTGATGAGACCGACAGTGATGTCCAATTCTGTAGTAATGTAACAAAGGCGATAGAATTGGGAGGGTTGCCTCTGTTAAATAATAATTAAGGACCTGTTTGGCAGAGCTCCTGCGGGTCTCCCGCCCCTGTCGGCCGCCCACGGGCCGACAGGGAGCCGGAGCCATTTTTCTCTCTCCTCTTTACTCCTCTCACAAACCCAGGCGGAGCCGGCGGATTTCATTTTTCGGGCTCCGCGGCTCCGGCTCCGCCTGGCACCTATCGGCCCGTGGGCGGCCGACAGGGGCGGAGGTCCTAACAAGTCAATGTCTTAGTGATGTCGTCTCTGTTGCATCTCCGACGGTATCTAAAAAATACTCCCAAAAATAGGTTTTCCAACCTTTGCAAAATATATTGGGAAACATAAAAAAGCTACTACTCTAACGATTTACAAAATTTCGCGCCTAAAAGATAGAAGATAATTTTACATCAGGAATCCTAAACAATTTCTAAATCACACTAACCACTTTTATGCTTTATTTCTCTCTTTACATTTGCATCAGAAACCCTGTCCTACTTTTTTTTCTTCCTCACGTCCTTTCACCTCTGATTGAGGAGCGATACGCGCACGTAACTTTACGTGCGTGGGGGTGTTTTTTTTTTTAAGTGCCAAAAGATTAGGAGGTGGGTTTGGGAGTCGTTGGAGATGAGATTTTTTCAATCTTGTCAAAATTCCTAGATTGGGAGACTCTTTTGGGTAGTCTTGGGGATGCTCTTAAACATTACCAGGCAGGACATTACCAGGCAGGCCTCTGTGGGCTGCCATCTCTGTTAATTGGGCTACCCGACCGCCTATGGAAACGTGTTTTGACCGCTTTGTTACTCCTTCCACTAGCAATGCTCGTTGAACAAATCTATTATCTATTATAATCCACCAACAGTGCGTGACATTCAACGATTCCCCTCCTCCAAAACTCAATTGTTGCTTTAGTTATGCTGCTTAACATTATGTTGTGCTTGTACAAAGAAAAATAATTAACTGAAGAAATATAGATGCCCACATCAGCTCAGCATCGCAACTGCAGAACCAACAGAAAACCTAGCTAGTCGGTCATTTGCATGTTGCAGTCCATCAGGCAGGAATGGACCATGCATGCCGGTGCGTAGCGGCTAAATGCACGGCGGCGCCACAGCCCCACTGCCGGTAAGCGGGAGCCGCAACCGGCCGAACTGCTCGCACCCGTCGGCGCCAATCTCGGTGAACGCCTCAACGAGCCGCGGCACGATGCCGTTGAGCGCGAGCCTCAGTCCTGTCGAGCACGGCCGCCGCCCGCCCTCCCCCTCCGCCGTGGCGCGGGCCTCGGCGTCGAGCGTGCCGACAGGGCAGCCCTGCAGGTACGCCTCGCACGCCCGGAGCACGAACCTGCCGCGGCGGCGGAAGTGGCCTGCCACGAGCGCCTCGTACCCCGCCGGCGGCCGGCGCAGCAGGTGGAGCATGGTCCGGAGCGTGAGCACGTAGGCGTTCTCGGCGTAGGGGAGCGCGTTGCGGGCGCCCTGCGGCGTGCCGAGCTGGTACGCGTACTCGGACTCGTTGTAGTAGGGCTGCGCGGTGAGCACGAGGCCCTGGAGGGAGACGACCACCTGGAGGACACTGGAGCTGGCCGGCGACCAGTGCTCGGGCCCCTTGCCGGCGTCGAGCAGGCTCAGGCACACGCCGCCCATGTCGTCCAGATTGGGGTTCAACCAGAGGCCGAAGGAGTGGTAGTACACTAGCGGCGGCACGGCCGGGTACGATGGCGGCAACTGCATGTCGAAGAAGAAGAGGCCGTCGTGGTATGGCGTCCCCGCCACGCCCGCCATCGCCGCCCGGAGCAGGTCCATGCGGTCCTCGAACGTCCGCACGTAGATGGTGTCTGCATGCATATGCATATATACATTGTGAGACACGTTTAGATCTTGGCACAAATACTTATCTTTGTGCATTTTTAATAACGTAATATATACTTATTTTATATGGATATTGTCTGTCGCACAATGTACCTGGCAGGTTCGTTTTGTAGAATTTCCCATTCCTTCTGTACTCTCTTGGTCCATTTCCTCACATCATCACCGGTTCCCTGTGTCAGTGTATGCATGAAAATCTTTAAAACATGTAAGTGATGCCCATATATGTATGATGAACATAACATGTACAGTTGTATATAAGTAGTAACAGTCGGTTTCTCCCAAAAGTGAAACTCAATCTCATATAAATTCTAACGATTCAATTATAAAGTATGTGTGCCTATGATTCATATTTCATCTCCTTACTTACGCAAGCCATCGAGTACATTTTTCTCAAAGACAATATACATAAAAATTAATTTTATCTCACTATTAGGTCCCGTTTGGCAGGGCTTCTCCAGCGGCTTCAGGAGCCGTTTGGAGCCGTTTTCTGCCAAACGGGGTAAAATGAAACGGCTCCACCGATGAAGCCCCTAAAAACGTGCTCTCACAGAGCTTTGGGGTGGGAAGGAGCCAAAAATAGTGGCTTCTCCCGGCTCCTCCTCCAGGCCCCTAAAAACATGCTCTCACAGGGAAGCCATTTTGCCAAACGGTTTACCAAAACCGCTTCAGCTCCACCGGTGGAGCTGTTCGTGGAGCTGAAACAAAAAAAAATGGCTTCACTAGTGAAGTGAAGCCCTGCCAAACGGGGCCTTACTAATTAGAGGCCTAATAAAGTCACTGTTAATTCTCACGACGCCCTAGTAGAACAACAAAAGATCATTGCTACAAATTCTCACAAACAAAGATATATAGGATTCAACTCGGTAGCCTTGTCAGATCTATTTTATGTTTTTTCTAAAAGCTTACCTACATTTGTTAGTATGAAATTAAATTATTTACCTATATATACCATTACAAATACAAAAAGATAATGTATACAAAGTAACCCAATATACCATAAACAAACTTCTAATATACTTCCCGTGTCCCAAAATAAGTACACATCTCGCATTTCGAAGAGTCAGATAATATTTAGTTTGACCAAAATACATGTATTTTTATAGTAAAACTATTTAGAGATAAATATTAATACTAGTTTCCATAAATATAGATCGGTTAACTCCTCGAAATACGAGAAGTATATTTATTTTCGAACAGAGAGAGTACTTATGTATTATAAGATTCTATCACACATGCAAGATAATGAATTGGTAGAGATCATGGACTATTAATAACCAAATCAATTATGCATGCGCACCTGCTCCTTGTCATGGAGGAGGAAATGGTGATCAGGAGGGCACTGGGTGACGTCGAACTGCCGGAAGTGAAACGAGTCACCGCTGGCAACATTATCTCTGGCTGCCTGCTTCTTAGTGGAGCCATCACCATTAACACCCCCTTCGCCGCAGCTCGCCGGGCCAGCAACAACCCCAGCGGGCACGTCGTCGACGGTCTTTATCATCTCCATTGCTGCCGGCACTAAGCTTGCTGGTGCCAGTTCATGGACAGAGGCACTGTCGATGGCAGTAGCAGAACCATTATCACCACCGTCACCTTCGCCACCGTTCTCGTTGCCCTAGTAGGATCAAACGTAAGATTTCCAGTAGAGGATTTATAATATGATGCACACATTGTATATATATACTAGAGCACATTGAGATGCATGTAATTTTTTTTTTGAAGAGAGACTGGAGGGCCGGGGCCGAAGCCCCTACAGAGTCTGATACTGGATGCATACTGTGACTGCAACGGTAGCGGCAGGTTCTTCTCCTTCTTCTTCAGGCATGTCCTCCTCCGCTGCCTTGTCGACGGCGTTGATGTCCACGACGGAATATGATTCCACTAACTCTACCTCATGAGGCAACACCTGAAATTTGCACGTCCATCAACTGAAATTAGCGGGATAATTTGTCATTATCACGTGAAAGTTATGTAGATGCACCCTACGGTTAGTCAACAGCTCCAACGTTTAATATTGAGAACTACTCCCTCCGTCCCAACTTATATCATTACAACTTTCTTGCAAAGTCAAAATATCATAAGTTTGATTAGAATTATAAAAAAAATTACAAAGATTTATGACATGAAATAGATATATTATGAAAACATAATTAATGAAGAATCTAATGATATTTATTTTATATCATAAATGTTATTATTTTATTATATAAATTTGGTCAGACTTGAGATGCTTTGACTCCCAAAAAAAGTTGTAATAACTTATAATTTGAGATGAAGGGAGTACTTGTTCTGCTATATTTTATTTTAATATATATTTACTATTGCCAAATTAGGTTTTGCAGTAGACTATGCCGATATCCAAAAGATACAAATATTTATGATGGAATCGTAAGCATATGGACTTGGACGTAGTAGGCCTTTCTTTCTTTCTTTCTTTGTCAACTTGGCATCAGGTGGATCTTTTAATTAAAATCGATCTTTGAAATACCTCTTTAGGAGGTTACAATATTGTTTATCATCTTTCTCCTACCATATTTAGAAGGTTACAATAATATTTTTATCATCTTTCTGATGGTATCTAATTCTACATTTATCTTTGCATGTGGTTGCCTCCGCTCCATCTCCTCCAGTAGTTACAGACAGCGTCACAGTGCCACTACACCTGCTCGGTGTCAAGTTTATCCTTTTGTTTAATGTACCTCTTGATTTCAACATGCCTCCCACCCACACAATTCCACACCCCAATCCACCCCAATGGACAATCTCCCATATCTCCTTTGTCCTCTCTCTAAGGGCTTGTTTGATACACATGTATACACGTATATACATATATACATGTATGTACCTCAACTCAATAATTTCGCTATAATCCACTTCAACACATGTGAATTGAGGTGGATACATATACATTCAAACAAGGCCTAAGGTCCCTCGCGGCAAAAAAAAAAAAACCCTTCTCCGATAAAACCTTATTTGTTCGTTTTCAAGCTATTGAAATGTACTCACTTCGTTATTAATAATGCACTTTGACTTTATCTTAAGTTAAACTAATTAAAAAAAAACACATTTACGAGTTTAAATAAATCATGTATCAAAATATATTTTATAAAAAATGTAATGAAACGAATTTAATGTTCTAGATATTTGACTTAAAATCAAAGTAATAAATTAATTTGACTTATATATAAGACAGATTGACAAAAAACAAAGTGAACTAATAATTTGATACGAAGTATGACTCGCCTTTTTTTATGCAAGGGCTAATTGCTAACTAGTTGAAAATTAGTGTAAATTAGCTCTAGTTCGTCCAAACAGGAGAGCTAATAGGTGGCCTAAATTTTTAGCCTAACTTACTAGCCATGTATATCAAACAATACCTTAAATATTAACAAAGGATTAATAATATATACCACATGCATGAGAATATGAGATGAATTTTTAGCTAACCTTTGACGTGTTGCCGTCTCCCCACTTGACCAGGACATGTGAATCAGATACATCAATAACCAGGACATGCATGAAAGATCGGCGCCGGCGGCATCCGCTTCTGCTTCTGCTTCCGTGTCGTCGCCAACAATGCGTACGACAACATCTCCATAGAAGACGCCGTGGTCGTAATCCCAGGCCAGATCGTACGCGCTCACCACGGTCGCCTCGTCCACCACCTTGGGCGTGGGCTCCTCCTCGCCGCCCGGCACCGGGCTGCTGAGCCACGACACGCGCACGGTCTGGTCCTTCCCAGGGCGGATCCACCAATATGGCATGGTCTAGCGGCCGCCAGACCTCCCCGCCGGCGAGCCCTCCCTCCACCCCACCACCCCACACCCCCGGCGCCCGGACCTGGCAGCCTTGGCCGACATCTGTAGTTGCTTCTCTATTTTTTTTCGCGAGTACAGAACTCCAACTCTCCGAGGAAGACGACGAGCGTCGGGCGGTCGAGTGAAAGGCCGAAGAGGTACCGCTGTTGCCTGTTGGCAGGGCTTATTTGGGCTGCGTCAGCGTGATGGAAGCCCACGCGCGCAGGGTCCAGGCGGAAGGTGAAAAGCTTCCGATCTACGTACGCTCGGGGAGACGGCGATTCAATTCCTGTTTGTCGTCCGCCTGGCGCCTGTTCGGCTTCCTTCGTGTTCGCGGTTTCGTGCTTCAAAGTTTCACCGTCTAGTGCAGCACGCCTCCACCACGATAAACTAGTCACCAGTGCAGCACCGTGATCAAGTAGGATGGACAGTGATTTTCACAGATAGGGAAAAAGAACGGGAAAGTGAAATTGATCCCAAATTATGAAATTGATTCTCCTTGCTTTTGTAGTCCGGCAATTAGTTGATGTTTTAAACTTCAATTTACAATATTTTTTAAATGTTAGTTGTAGGCTTGAAGGCATATTTTAGCACGATTCTGCTTTGTCACACAACCTAGTAGTACAAAGTTCGCCGTAGGTGGATTTTTATCCTGGATCCGCCACCGGTCCTTCCAGTGGACGCCTCTCACAATGCCGACGCAAGGCACCGCCGTTGCCGCAGCCGCCGGTCCATCGTCTGCGGGTGCGAGCTCATTGACGGCGTCCAGGCTGACGAACGCGCTGCCCCGGGAAGAACTCCTCGGTGTGGCTGTTGAAGTGGACGAGCGACGCCGAGGGCACGCCGTGCCGCCGCGTGCCGTCCTGCCACAGCACGTCGACGGTGGTGCGGGTGTCCGTGACGACGGACATGGGCGGCGTAGTAGTGTTGGCGTCGCGAAGGAAGCAGCGGTCGCCCAGGCCCCAGAAACAATGGTCGTCGGAGCAGAAGAAGGCGAGGTCGCGAGCGCGCTGCTGCGGCGGCGGCGCGGACGCCCGGACGACTTCCTGCCGCTTGGTGCCACCCAGGCGCGCCGACGCGACCGAGCACGTCCGCCAGCTCCACCCTGGCGACGGTGCCGCCGCCCTCGGCGTGGGT